ATCATCAGATATTGTCCAAGATTAACCTCAGGGTGGATATAGCTCGCTCACACCGAGGACCTATCCACGTCATCATTTACCCAGAATGCTTTGCGTGTAAATAAAATGGCTCCGTCCGTGTTAAATATGTACTTTAAAAAATTTACAAAACTAAACAGCCTACAGTATTTTTAGTCTTTATTTTACAGTTAAAATATATGTTTATCAAAAAAGTCTAATGTTACAACTAATCATGGATCCCTTTAAAGCTGCATGATTTGGAGGACAAACTGATCTACAGCTGAAGTACTGAATTAGACCTGTTCAAGGTCACAGAGCTCATCTCTAGAGGTCAAAGGGTGAGGGGAAGGGTAAAGAGGATGCAGACCCACAATCAGGTCTCCATCACTGGACCAACTGATAAGACTCACATCCATGCTCAGTTTATGCAGCTTACCCAACCTGCAGATTTTACTGTGGAAAGAAATGGGTGCTCAAACCATCACTCCACCGTGCAGCCATGCCATCTGTTAATGGTAGATTTTAAGATGCTTTTACATGTTCGAGGGAAGAAATATCCCTTTTACTTGAAGAAAACTTGACATGTTTTGGTGTTGGACTGAAGAATGTAACAGCAGTTTGTGAGGCAGCCAGAAGCCTCCACAGAACAGACAGAACACACATGAGAACAGCCCACCACAGACATGCAGTCATGTAACACGAGTCTGAAGACAGAAAACACCAGCAGGCTCCACTACACTGACGTGTGAGCTCAGCTGTGTCCAGGTGACTTCTTTAGGACAGGGTTTGAGCAAGGATCAGATTAGAAATTGAATGAGCCTAAAAGTTATAACCAGATCAGCATCAAGCTTGTTGCTGGGCTTTGGCTTCTGGCACTAAAAGATAAAAAAAAAAAAAACTGAATATAAACCTTGCACACTTTATTTTATTAACAAACCATCCAACAATTCATCTGTACAAAGCAAAAAAAAAAAAAAAAAAAGCCTGTCCATCAGAAGCTCTGTGATTCAGTCAGAACATATTTTAACAGAAGATCACAAACATTACAAAAATAATACAAATTTCAAAATAAAAGCTTCAGGTATCACTCACAGCTTCCTGCTTCCTGAAGGAGACAAACAGGTGGACATGTCCTTCAGTCACACACTCCTGTCTGCAGCTGAGGATTCTGGGATATCGAAACAGAAGTGGACCTTTAGCTGTCTGCAGCAGAGGATTCTGGGATATCGAGACAGAAGTGGACCTTTAGCTGTCTGCAGCTGAGGATTCTGGGATATCGAAACAGAAGTGGACCTTTAGCTGTCTGCAGCTGAGGATTCTGGGATATCGAAACAGAAGTGGACCTTTAGCTGTCTGCAGCAGAGGATTCTGGGATATCGAAACAGAAGTGGACCTTTAGCTGTCTGCAGCTGAGGATTCTGGGATATCGAAACAGAAGTGGACCTTTAGCTGTCAGCAGCTGAGGATTCTGGGATATCGAAACAGAAGTGGACCTTTAGCTGTCAGCAGCTGAGGATTTTGGGATATCGTGACAGTGTGACAGGGATCAGGCACACACTGATTTAAAACAGATCTTTCCAACAGATGGAAAAATGAAAGGCAGTTGAATGACAAAAAGCAGATTCACAAACTGAAGTGGACATCAGAAACTCCACAGAGCTTCAGTCCAACAGAACAAAAAGCAGCAGCACTGCTTGTCTGCACTGGACTTATAATACACATGTACACTGGCTGACACTTGTTTGGTTCTGTTCTCACCTGTTGATGTTTTTTTATTTTAAATCAAACTCCACTTTTTTTTTCTTCCAAAAAGTCCCAGAAGCTTGAGGTGTGGCTCTTCTGCAGGAGCAGGCAGAGCACTGGTACCGAGCCACAAGAACCAGAACTGAGCCGTCCGAGAGCCAGGATGATTTGTAACAGGAAAATTTTACCGTCCATCTTTATGTGGAGAAATGTAACTGAAGAATTCTTGAAACCGTTCAATCAAAGCCACCCCCCCACCTTCAAACAGAAACCCAAACACCTTGTTTACACACTGTCTGCAGCCCCTCACAGAGACGCTCACTGCCCTCCAGGAGAAAAACAAAAACAAAATCATCTGCTGGGGCAGGATGACGCCTCTGCCCTCACTGCAGGAGAAAAGGCAACAAAACAGAGGATTCAAACAAACAACAAAACATGACCTGTAGTAAACCAATAAATAAGGCTAAAAATAACAAACCAGAATCATTTTATACTCAGTCTGAACGTCACAGTTCATTTCAGCTAAGGAAGGCTTAGTTTTCTTTTTGTTGTTTCTGTCCCAACACACACCTCAGATCCTGCACGGCGCTCAGGTTTCCAGGTTTGTTGAGGCCGGATGGTGGGACAAGGGTGGTTGGGGTGGAGTGGGGTGGGCAGCGCGTGCCTGGCTGTCCCACAGCAGAAACCACAAATCTAACAAACTAATAAAAAATTAAATAAAAGTGGGGAGAGACTGAACAAGCCTAACAAACTGAAGGGCAACAAAAAACAATGGTCAGAAGACAAGAGACGGTGTCTCTTTCTGAGACACACACACACACTCTCTCACACACATACAAACACACCCCACCCCCCCACATACACACACACACAACCACACACATACACACACACCCACACCATTAAAACACTAGTCATTACCTACTCTGTACATCAAGCTTTAGCCTGATATCATTTCATTCACCACCTCACTCTCATTCAGTCCTGAAACTTTTAACACTTGAAACCCACCCCTGTCCACTCCTCCAAAAGGGGGCGGGGTTACTAAATCCACAGAGAGGGTGGGCTTAAACTTTAGCAGAATCACACTGAAGCAGAGCTCAGAAGAATGATGAAGAGGAGGCGACAGAGGACGTGGTCTCTTGGAGGGGTGATGGTGGGCTGTGGGTCCAGTCTTTCCCATGTAAAAGCCCCCCCAGCAGCAATAAAAAAGCTGATAAAAAAGTGGTGAGGAGGACAGAGATCTGAAGTGGTTCGGAGGCTCCAGGTCGGGGTTTTTACACTGAGCTGGTGAGGGTCAAAGGAAGAACCAGAGGATGGAGGGTGGGAGGTTCTCCCTGTGGACTCGTCCTGACCCCAAAGGCGGGGTTGGGTCTACCTGTCCTTCAGCTCCTGCGTGACTTGCTTGGTGAACCTCCCACAGAACATCCCCATGAGGAAGAGGAGGGCCACAGCTGCACCGATCACGGTCAGAATGTAGTTCTTGGACGGCGACGTCATCACCTGCATGGCCAGGTCAGAGAAGCCCTCTGCTGGAGCCACCTGAGGGGGAGACAAGTACAGACATAAAGAGTCCAGCTAGCAGAAGCTGTCACGGCACATGAGATACGGCTGCCATCTTGAAATCTGTATTTTGTGAATAGAATATTACTGTATTGCATTTATGTCCACAATCATAACGCTAGCTTAGCTGGTTAGCTTAGCTCAGTTAGCTATGTTTTGTGCCGATATTCATCCGGCTATACTAGCTAACTGAGATAGTTTATAAATCATATGAAGTCTTAGTTACACTGATTAACATTGACACAAAAACACAACAGTAGAAATCAAACAGATATTACAGTTATAACATTCACCAGGAATTTTTACACAGATGGCACAGACTATTGTTTATATGTAGGTAAAATCTGATATTTCATCGTCACCACACAATACAGACAGAACATCTGACTGGAATAACTTTCAAATAACCTTACTCACCATTTTAGCAACTTTGGTTCATTTTCAACAGATATGCATCAACATTTGAGTTTTGTTAAGTTTCTAATGAATTTTAACATGGAAAATAGAAAAATCACTTGATGGTTATTGCGACTACACTTGGGGACACTTTAAAGTTTTCGCAACTTTACGAACTGACTGACCTTCATTTCTTAAAGCAATGATGGTCACTCATTTTTCTTTACTTAGCTGCTTTTTTCTTGCCATACTACAAATTCTAACAGTCTATTCAGTAGGACCATCAGCTGTGTACCACCTTCTGCACAACACAACTAATGGTCCCAACCCCATTTATAAGGCAAGAAATGTTACTTATTAAACCTGACAGGGCACACCTGTGAAGTGAAAACCATTTCAGGTGACTACCTCTTGAAGCTCATCAAGAGAATGCCAAGAGTGTGTGAAGCAGTAATCAAAGCAAAAGGTGTCTATTTTGAAGAATATAAGACATATTTTCAGTTGTTTCACATTCTTTTGTTAAGTATATAATCCCACATGTGTTAATTCATAGTTTTGATGCCTTCAGTGTGTAGGGGTTCCCCAAAGGTGAAATAAACATTTCCACTTGTCTTTGACTTTGGTTTAAAAAACAAAAAAAAAATCCTTTAACAGATTTATTTTATTTTCTTTAATAAACAGACTAATAATGTTCTTCATGTTTTTGATTTATATTCTCTTTTAACTAGAAGTTATTATCAAGTTGTTTGTTGAGTTAATCTTTGCATTTATTTTCAGAAAAAAGAAAATACACACCATGAGAAAATGGTTGAAACATCTCTTTACATGTTTTACACAAATGCTTGTTTAATCAACTATTGTCCTTACAGTAAAGCGATTAAGTGTTTTTCTTTTATTATTCCATTTAATCAAAGTTGATTGGTGAGTTTATATATTGTTTGTTATATTTTGGAATATAATTACTGAAATATTTGTGTTTAATCATAGAAAAATATTTCTTAGTTTCATTTAGTGAAAATGATTCTTGAGCATTCATTGAATAACTTTTAGTCCATTTAGACTGTGTCAAAGTACCCTGTTGTTCAAGAAAGCAGGTGCAAGTGTTTCTATGGCAACCAAGTCTTCAGACTCGACATTTCTGTTTCTGTCTTTACTAACCAAGATCACTTAGCTGTCTTGCTCTTTAGAGTACTAATGCACGAATTTGATTCAGTCTGAAACTTGAATGAGGAACGAGAAACAGCTATTTTTCGTTCCTCGCTTCCTTCCCTCTGGAAGTGGGCATGACAGAGATTTTTGTCTCAATTTGCCAAAGAGAGAAAATCGGCTGTCTGATTTGGGCATTACAGCCTCAAATCACCTTTGAATATTTTTTACTACCCTGAGAGAAAGAGCCAACGACCAACTTGGTCCTCGCCTCCTATAAACAGCAGATTCTCTGCGATGCTGTAAACAAAAACCCTGGGAAGTCGTGCTGACCACCCTACTGACCTGCCTCTGTGACAGTGAAACCATCAACAGGTAAAGGCAAAGTTTTTGTCAGCTGGAGAGTCCAGCTGAGTGGGAGACAGAAGCTGATCACGGTTGTTCTTGTAATCTTGATAAAATAAAAAGTTAAAACTAAATATTTACTTATTCTCTTTTCCTCCTTTCTTAATCTAAACTTTGCCAAGTTAAAATGCCTGTAAATTAAGTTTTTATAACATCCAAAACTTGTTTACTGTTTCATGTGTTCACTATCTTGAGTGTTTATTCACAATACTTCACATTGAACGCGAGGTGGTTTATTGTTAATATCTTATCTCATGAAGTTTTGATTATTAAGCTTTAATTTTGTATATAGTCAAGTTCATTTGTCTGTAAATAAATAACTTTATTTTAGAAAATTGAACTAGACTGGAACTACAAATTATTGTCTTTTTCTCTCTTCCATTCTGAGAGGTATTGTCTTTCATAAAAGAACTCGTGTTTCCTCAGTAATTGAGAAGGTCTAGAACCCTGGTGGACAAGGTGTGAATCTACAATTTTCATAGTCATGAAAATAAGGAAAACTCTTTGAATGAGAAGGTGTTTCCAAACTTTTGGTCTGTACTGTATATAAATAAACCCTATGCAAAAATCATCCACAAATGAATTTTTGTTCATGTTATTTTCTAGTTAATAAACATGGCCATTCATAAATAATCTTAAAACCTTTAACTTATTTTAAAAGCTTTTGTAAACTCTGTCAGTTTTACAAGGAGAAAATAGACATATTTTAATATGTCTATTTCACCTATATCATCTATTATAATTACATTTTCTGATTGCATTTTAATCAAATAAAATAATGCATTCCTTCTGTTATGTCATGTTTTAACATCTTTCTCAGCCTAGCCCACTCGGTGATGCTGTAAAACCACTGCTGCGGCTCAGAAAAACGCCTCAGTTCATTTGACAAACTTGTTTTAGTTCGATTATAAAGATCAAAAACACACTTGCACAAGTAAACATTTACAAAACAGTGAATCCACGTGGATTTTACGTTAAACAATCAACCATGACTCAAAAAAAAAGCTCTTTATGACCTGACTTCATTCAAACAACCTCCTCACCGGCTACTGTCTTTGGCCATTGAAGGTGAGCGTGTGTGTGTGTGTGTGTGTGTGTGTGTGTGTGTGTGTGTGTGTGTGTGTGTGTGTGTGAGCTGTGGATCCTGTACCTTGGCAGCGTAGCTCCACATCTCGATGCGATCCTGAAGTCTTTTCTTGCACTCTGGCTGCAGACGAACGCGTTTGTCCTGCAGCGCCTCCATCAGACACGACATATCTGAGAAAGAGCAACACACACACACACACACACACACGCACGCACGCACACACACACACACACACATACATACACACGTTGGTTAATCTAGGATCTTATATGACCTAAACTTACCAGTTTAACAGACTCGTATTCAGCCAAATACATCTAAATCAATTGAGAGTCGTCAGCTTTCTGTCTACATAGTTTAAGTTTTCAGACAAAAAAAATTCCTTAAAGTCTTCAGAGTTGTTCTCATATTAACAGTTTGTTCTGAAAGGAGATTTCATGTTATTTTCTGGGCAGACTTATATTTGTTTTGAGTTTTAATCAGTTTTGTGCAGTGCACAAGAGATTTCCTGCTCAACAAGCTTTGTTGAGCTGAAAAGTCAGAGTTTTTGGTGTGTTTATAGGTCAAACAGAGGAGTAGAGGATGCACTAGGGACACTTTTAAATTTACTTTTTTTTTAGGTTTTTAAACATCTTCAGTACTACGCTCCTGTTAGGCTGCTTTTTATTTTTCTTCGCTTTTAACTGCATCCAGCCCCATGTCTTAGCCCATAAGTTAACTATTTTTTTATATTGGCTGTAGGTTTATTGCTCAGCTAATGGATTTTTTTTTTTACAAAGAGCAGACGAGTCAGAGTGAATGGTGTTTTATCTGAGCCCCTGTTTTCTTCTACAGGGTCCCCTCAGGGCTGTGTCTTCTCACCTTTATTTATTTTATACACCAATGACTGCCAGAGCCATCATAGTGGACATCACATTATTAAATTTGCTTTTATTGAAACTTTTGCTGAAACTTTTTATCTGTTGGCACGGATCACTTTCCATCAAAAAATGTTTTTGTGTGTGCATTGTTTGTATGAGTTTTTCTTTTTTCTCTCTTCTCTTTCACTGCTGTCTGCACAACAATAAAGTTTATTTGACTTGATTAAGGAGGATCTCTTTGAGCAGGGTAACCTGACAACCGCCGCTTCCAGGCAGTGGGCTCTTAGGCTGATGCTGCGTTCCATTTACATCGTATTCCGGGAACTGGTAAATGGTAATGATGTCATTTCCCAACAAACGATCTGAAACTGCATTCCAGTTAGCTGACAGGTGATTGTATTGTTGCCGCTAACCTACAACACTGCTACATTATAAACAATGATAAAAAGTGAGCTCTGCTACATACAGTGGTTTGCAAAAGTATTCATACCCCTTGAACTTTTCCATATTTTGTCACATTACAACCACAAACATAAATATATTTC